AAAATAATAATAATACAGAAAACAAGAAATTTCATGTTAGTATAACGAGATAAAAATTAAGAGTGAGATGATTGGAGAAAAAAGAAAAAAAGTAGTGAAGAGAAAAATAAGGGAAATAGTATAGGAACAGCTCAAAAGAGAGAGACAGAGACAGAGACAGAGAGACAGAGAGAGAGAGAGAGACAGAGACAGAGAGAGAGAGAGAGAGAGAGAGGGGGAAAAAGAAAGGATTTGAGAAGCGAAATGGGAATATATTATGTCGATGCCATACCCTAAAGAAAACTTACAGGCAAATAAACATACATGTATTATATACAAACATAATACAAAGAATGGTCTACAGTAACGAAACTTACAAATTCACATATTCATCAAAAATTTCGTAAAACAACAAAGTAAAAGAATGTAAAGCTCTCACAAAGAGGAAGGGTTTTGTAGATGTTCAAGATTTACGTTGCGGTTCGTACTGTCTAATTCCATTTCAGTCCACAGTAGATATCACCATGAGGTGGTTTTAAATCAAGATTTTAGATAGTATATTATATATGAAGGATAATTTGTTAAGATTTTGTGAAGTGGCTGACGTGTACTTTTAAAAACTTTTGAAAACTCATGAAAAATAGCTCATTGTAATGAAAAGATACATGTCTTAGTTCTATAAATGTACTGCTTGAAAAGGAATATTGTAATCAATTGAGTTTCGAATAACATTGTGTCTACCTTGTCGCAGGACCTTTAACTAGTAATCAGACGTTATTGTATGAAATATGGTATATATAGTGCTATCCACTTTCCTACATGTAGTAACTCTGTGTATATATGTGTGTGTGTGGGGGGGGGGGGGAGGATGGATCTAACGAGGGTTATAGGGTACGTGTCATCGTCCCAGGGGCGTGGTAGTTGTCGGAGGTAAATTGTCCTACGGTCGGTGACCGGGGGCAGGTGTCAAGCTGTAATTATCATTGCACATATACTTAATACGCCCTTAATGTTCTGAAACTGTGAAGATGGAAAATGTTATACAGGAAGCAACGAATTTTTGCTTAACAAGAACAAATATTTTCTTGATCAATCATGTATCATTTATATACATTATACCTCATATCATAATCATTACAAACATTGGGCAACACATAATGTTAACCCAAGCACCTTTTATACAAGCATGCTCGATTTGGAAAAAGTAGATTTGAACATGACTTTAAAAAGAACTTTTAATTCGTTAAATTGTGAAAGCAACCAATTGCCGTTATTTTTCTTGTTGTAAAACATGTTGATAAAGCCTAATGAATTACATATCCTCCAGTAAACTAAGCCATACTGGTCAAGATGAATTCAAATGACATGACCGAAGAAAAGAGTAACAAAACATGCAATATATATATATATATACAAAACATACGAAAGAAGAAGTCTTGAGTGATTTTGTTCATAATTGGGGCGTTTATTATCATCTCATCTTACCTCGGGTTCTGACCTATCTCTTTTATCAATATTGTATTGCCTTCCCTTTTCCCATTTAGTAATTGAAATATCACCAACTAAAATGGTATATTCTGACTGTTACTCTTATAGTAATGTTTGTAAGATAAGGTTTCGTCTTGCGATTACCTTGTGGAAGAAACTCTATGGAGGATATTGGAGTGGTTGATTGTGTAGTGCAAATTAATTGATGTATACTATGAGGTCCTGAAACGACATTGGTTTAATATGGCGAAAGATCACATGCACTACACACATAAATGGGTGCATGGGATTACTTACACATGTGACATGAAACTTTGGTCCATTCCTTTTCAGCTATTTCTCGGGATTTTTCGAATATGAGGGCGTTTGGATGCAATATCTTTCAGGGGATATTTCTGCTATGATCAGTACTGTTGATATTCCTCTAAACTGACATTAAGAATGATTAAAGCTTGCAATTCATTATTTATCTAAAAGTCACTCTTTTCTTGCATACACTAAGTGCATAAATCTATGAATGATTCATGATATCCGATAATACGTCATTATGCAGTGTATCAATATTGTCAGTTTAGAGGAATATCAAACATATGTTTCCTTATTTGCGAACCTTCACGCAAAATGACCCCAGTTGTTTCAAACGCATTGAAGCGACCACCTGTGTCCCGCGGTATTTTGACAACGTGTGATCAAATTTCAATCATTACTGAACGTCAAATTAACAACAATGATTTACTCTTAACAAGAGCGAGGGGGTAGTCTGCAAGCACAAACCCTGGTCAGTCGTAAAAGTGAGTCTGCACTACAAGACTACTATAGGCCTTGTACTGTAGCTGCTCCTGCACAGCCAGTAGGTAGCTGGACTAAGCTTTTCTCAAGGCACAATGATTTGTTGATAAAGTGTCAAATTAGGGTCTGTGCTTGCAGACTAGGAGGGGGGGGGGGGTAATGTGTGTGGGTTGTTTTTCACTACACAAGTATTACGAATTATGTAAATACACAGTAACGATAACAATCTGCAAGGTCAATACTATACCGTTTTTAAGTTTGGCTGAAATAAGATATGCGCACAACCTGATTTTTTGCGACTTGCGAGTAATTACCACCTGAGGAATTTTCAATGATTATAGCTTTGTCCATCAAATGTTCAAATGTGCTTGAATTACCGTTCGGAAATACAATATAGCATTGAAATTGCCGTTGAGGGAATTTCTCGAATGGCTTTTCGATCGTGTTATATTCTAATCGTCGGTCTTTATCGCTCAATTGATGTGGGGTTACCAAGTTATACTGGGTTCTACCTTTTCTTGAAAACAGCAACATAAAACACAAAGCTGCCCATATCTGGCGTTAAAATATGGTACCAAATTTTGTGAATGTCACACTAAACAACGACATATTTACAGAAACAGCCAACTAACGTATATACTGCTACGCTTTGATTTAACCTTTAAAAATGTCATACATACAAATTATGATATATGTGACAAAGCAGATATGGATTTGTAGGCCTCAGTGATCACTGTACATAAAGGTACGACAGAAGAAAGGGCTTTTGTCTTTTTGTGTATGTCTGAGACTTATAACCACACTGAAACGATCTTAATCTCACAAAATATGAATATCAGTGTACGTGGTTATGGACGAATTGAAAAGACTGTCAGGAAGTACACTTTGATCCATCTAGCACAAACTAAAATTATAACTCTCCAAATGGTTTTGGTTGTATGAAATGAATAAAACAAATACATAATCCTATACACACACTGTATCAAATAATTTGTCCTTTTAGAGTCAACAAGGATTGTATGGTAGTATTTACATATATTTTTCACCCAAGCAGGTTTGCTTTATCTGTACCGATCGCAGGAAAGCGGCCATTCATGACCCACACACTATTGAGTAGCTGCAACTATTTGTATACAAACAAATGGCAATGAACAACAATGATTAACGAGTAGATACGGACAGAAATGAAATTGTGGATATTAAAGCCCAAAGGTGACATTTATGCAATAATATTTTGCTTTTAGTCCTACCTACTATCAACTAAGCTATGTTATTTGCATTATGACTATTGGTTATTCGTAACGGGTGAATGAAATCATTTGTAACAAGGACCTTAAAGATGAAGTTGAGTTCTGGTCATGCGATTACATTGTGAAAGAAACCGTGTGGAATCGACCAGAAAAGGTTGATCATCTAGCATATAAGAATTTGTGTGTATTGCAAGGTTCTGGAATCATCAAAATGATAAGAAATTTGGCCAAGCCTTGGTAAAGTTACAAAAACTGTACACAGAAAGATGTATATGGGACTACACGAACACGTGGCGTAAAAATCCTATCCCCGAGTTTGTCGATGTTACATGACATATTTAGAATATAAAGGCATTTGAAGAGCCATGCTTTTCAGGGAACATGTCTTATCTAATGTTCTTCCACACTTGCATAATAAGAAAGATAACGCTCACAAATTATTCTTCATCTCTTCCCAGAACTCAACCTTCTCTTTAACAAAGATTCATGCATTAAATTTGATTGAACAGCGGAAATGGCCTATTGGTTGGTCCTTTATTGTATGCATTTGTTGTATTTAAAGGGCATCTCTTCTGTGATGCTATTCATCACAGCAATTAACAGATGTTCGTTTCTGTATACTAAGACGGACATTGTGGCGGCTTAATTTTTGTAATGTGTAATGAAATAATGAGTAAGAACGCATTATCATAATCAGAAAGTGTCATGAATTTATTGACAAATAAACAGGCAGAGATAGCGGCATGGGAATGAATTGTAATGGGGGACATTTGTAAACAAAAAATAGGGGCTGGAAGGGAGGAAGAAGGAGAAAGAGAGAAGGGGGTGGCAGTGGGAGGGGGGAGGTTGTAGGCATAAGGGGTAAATGTAATAAAATATTAAACCAAACTAAAGTAGAAACTAATAACCACAAACACTTACAAAAATGACCGATATCATCATAGAAGAGATCCCCTTTAAATTCTTCAAATGCATACAACATAGGAGAAACTAATAACCACAAACACTGACAAAAATGACTGATTATGAGAAACAGAGAAAGAGAGAGAGAGAGAGAGAGAGAGAGAGAATTAAGCAGGGATAGAGAGAGAGACAGAGACAGAATAAGAGACAGAAAGAGAGGGGAATGGAGTCCAGAAGATTAGAATTCGCATCATCATTGCTTGATCATTACAATGTATTATACAAACATACACATTACATAGTTTACCTTCATTCTCAAGCTGCTCTTCCCTTCCTTCGAAAAGGATTATGACTCATAATCATATATGACCTTTAAAAGTGTTTATTGTTGTGCCCATAGTCAGTAAAAATGCGATTGTTGCCTTTTTCAAACAAAATAAGGTATTTGTGGAATGCAATGTAAACAGCGTCGATACAAATATTTCCGCCTGAGGAGATATGTTTTAATCAAAAAGTTTAATAATTTAAACCAAATATGACCAATTAATCATCTGGCAAATGCAATTGCATCAAAACAGCGAAAGACACAAATATACTGATCTCTTAACAGCTTGGTTGACTCTTTCCCATTGTAATTAGTGAAATCTCTTCGGGAATTATCATTTTAGCTAGCTCTAGTTTTCACGATTGTCTAAAAATGGAGCGGATAGTAGCTGTTTTTGTGATGATTTTCGTTGGATTGTCTGCGGCTGCTGAACCTGGTAAATATTTTTATTTTCATCACTTACATTTAACAGTATATTCATTTGGAGAGGCTAACCCTAATTGTAATTCGAAACATTCCATATTTACATTAATTTCATGATAGTGTAAGACTATCCCAAAGGATATGACGTCTCTGGTATGGGTACCTAGTAGGAATTTATTCCTTGAAATGCTAGAGCGCCGTATGGCAGCCGTGCTAAAGCCAGGGTAATAATCGGGAGCGCCAGGAGGGTCAAATCTGACTGACATGAGCGTTATACAAGAACCCACTATTATTATTATTATTATCGAAAACATGTTTTGATTACGTAATGCGTCATCGTCATCAGTCATGTTCGCACATTTCAAAGATGTAACCTGTCCCAAGTTCATTTTAGAAAGTCTTCACGATAGTGTTGTACATAAACCGTATTGAAAACAATTGTTACGTCACATTTGCAAAAGGTATTGGCTGATTGGTTAAGGAGTTGAAGACCTTGTCAATTATTTCGTTCAGGGCTGGCAGATTGATTAATAATCCATAGACATTTCTCAGTCGAGTGGTTGAGTTACTTGACTAGAGGTGCGAAGCCGTGGGTTCCATGCCCGACCTAACACTGTTGTCCTTAAGCGAGACAACTTTTTCTACATAGCTTCACTACAACCAGGTGTTAGTAATGTAGTTTGTTCAGTATTGCGATCGTCTTAAATAGGCGCTAGGTTGAAATTATTTCCGGGAGTGGAAAATGCATGTGAATGCATTTCATTATCCAAAAAATACCACAGTAAACGGTTCGTGGTCACAGTATTTTTGCCATATTACATATACAATGGTAATACCATTTCAATTATGACGGTACACTACATATTAAGAGCCATACTAGTACTGTCTTTAGTACTGTTTGTAGTACTACATGTAGTACCGTGGAAGTACTCTACCATGGCAATACCATGGTAGTAACATGTTTTGTAAGAGTTGTGTGCGGGTTGAATCCGATGACAAAGTAATAGTGTAAAGCGCTTACTAGAGACATCATAGATGTACTCATAGTATTGGAAATTTCTATAGCGCATATATTTTACATGCAAGGTGCCCATGGCGCGCGATTTCGGTGCTCACAGCATTCAAGAAAATCCTCCCTATCATTACCCATTTAACTTTTGGGGGGCAGTGGGAAAATTAGATAAATGCTTTGCCAAATGACGGTATGACGTAACCCATACATGATTTGTTTAGGATATTGTATATGGCAATACAACTTGATAATTATTTGAGTTGGTTGCTCGAAAACCTTGGCGATCGAGAAATATGACGTTTAAAATCACAGCGAACCATGTGATCTACAGTCCAAAGACTTATCCACCGGACTACGACTTGTATACATATAAATATATATATGAGTTTGAGTTTGAAGTTTGTTATCCAAACAAAATTCAATATAACAATCAAATGTGAATGGTTAACATTGACAGGATAAATGGGACCAGAAAATAACATTTAATGCTCATCGTGCATTAAATTACTATATATATATCAAAGGCTCTTCCCTGTATTGATGTTCCCGACTTTCCTATGGTTATTGAAACCGGACAACTAACACGATTGGAAAGACTTTCGCGAAATCGACCTGTTGCTGTTTTAGTCTTAAAGGCATGTGACGTTCATTTTTGAATATTTACGCCGAATTCATATTGTATTAACCATTTTAAAAGGAAGCAGAAAAGAGAAGGAAAAAAAATCGACGCTGTTCATTTGTTCGCATTTTGTGGAGATTCCAGACAAACTTTCTACATTGGCCAACTTCAGTAGTCTTTTCCAACACCTTTTGAAATGTGCTATACCTAACTCAAACAGGATTTGTGTAGGACATTCTATATGGCAATACAATTTGATAATTATTAGAGTTGATTTCTCGAAAACCTTGGCGATCGAGAAATATTAATGCAATTTGTTGAGGATACGCTCTAAAATAACTTCACATTGGCAAATATTTTTCGAAGTATGCACTGCATTTTATTTAAAATCAATTTGTTTTTCCTTTTTTTATCTTTAGATTGGTCTTGTGACTTTGCAGTGGATGATTGCGGAATTGAAATGTTGCAGGGTATCTGGACAAGAGTTTCGTTTAATGGAAATGGTTGGTAGTTGTTTAAGATTTTGTTGATTTTTTTCTTTTCCTTTTTTCCTGTGTACATTACACTCCCTTTGAGTATGCTTTTGTTAATCGATATCCGCAATTTGCGATAGCTCACATTTATAGAAAGAAACATTTGAACGCTAGGTCATACAAGTACAGTTTGAAAGAACCTTTTGAGATAGTTGACATAATTACAATGATAAAAAGTTGACCGAGTCTTGCTGATGAATCACTTTAAATGAACACCGCTACACACAGACATGGGCACTTCACAACAAGACACTCTAATGTGCACTGACAATTTGTCCAATTCTTTTTTAAAGCTATTTCTAGCCATATTTCTAATGTCTTGGCAATTTGAACAGCAATCCCTTTCAGGGACATCCGTTCCATGATCCCTCTACAATCGCGTCAAAGAATGAAAATGAGTTCATACAGTTATATTAACCTTCATGCCTGTATTAGAATTCAACCTTCTTTTTTTAGCCATAATAAAAGTACGTCATATGTGCTAACTGCTGTATATTATTAATTTAAAAAGGTAAAATAAACGATATAAACAAACTTCTAAGAAAACAGTTTAAGTATTAACGAAGTATTAAACCAAGACGAATTTGAATAACAAATTATACGTATATGATTGAATGTAATCACATTATTGATTGGTCGTACTGTCTCTGCCAATGTATTTCAACCGTTTATCACAAATACAGGAATGCTCGCAGCAGACGTATCTACAAGCGTTACCGGTGACATGTTTGTGTTCTCAATTCCATACAACTTCACGTCACCACATGGAAACGTGTCTTTTGATTACTTTATTGCTGGTGTTGACACGGTGTTGTTGGTCTCGGCCTGCCGAGGAGACCGCGACCCCGTGGAACAACTGCTGGTTTACCAATCAGCTCCTCTCGATGCTTCGACATTGATCCCTTATACATGTGCAAACATAATGGATGTACAGGTGTGTAGTTTTATAAGTTATTATTTTATCATGTTTATATGACAAGGAGTTTAGGTGCTAAATATTCCCTATTAACGGCAGCGACGTGTACAGAATAATACAACAATTATAGGCAAATGAGAGGCGGGGGCGGGGAAGGGGCTATATTTCACAATCATGTCATAATGGGGAGCGAGATACCGGATTATAATGCCTAAGGTAGTATATTTTGATGACTAAATTATTGCCTATTCTTTATTGTAATCAAGTGTCATCTCTTTTGAAACACTCGGAAGTTGATATTCAAGCAAGTCGAGAAGTTAGTATATGACAATGAATATAACCAATGAATATGACCATAGAATATATATACGAGTTCCCTGAACCATGTCAACAATGGTCGAAGGTCATTGGCTTTATCGAAACTGTCTGACCTACTTCTACAATTCTGTACCCCTACGTTGTAACCTGTATAGGGCGGAACATACAGGACAACCAATACCCTTTACTTTTGCGAGACATTAATCTCAAATTGCCACTCTCGACCCTGGTGTAGTTGAGGGAATATTAGTCACTATGAACATGACAGACAAAGAAAGAGGACAAAATATACAGTTCCTCATTCTACCCTCAACAATTGCTGTGGTAGACAAATGAACATCCCTTCACTGCTATTACGTCAAAATGTGTAGAACAGGTGAATATGCATGTGACATTTTTACATAGTAGCAGTGAAGTTGAGGGGATAGTGCCAGGACGCTTTCTAGGCGTCTTTCGAGTTTCCCACGGATTGTTCCGAGAGATATATTTCTGACCTGATCTAATAATGAAGCAATTCACCAAACATTAATTAATACTTGAAAACTCATTCGTTTCAATATTTATAATCTCAGGAGCAGTGTAAAGGTTGATAACAGGATTTAAAGTATCCACCATATTGTTAAATTATAGAAATGTATTATATCCTTTAGCCAATACGATTTCCATTATATCATGTACTGTGTGATTGATTTTTGCAGATAATTTTCAACGCTACAAGGCTTGATGTACCACCATTAATCAGGTTAGATAACATCCAGATATATGAAACGCCTTACGTAGGTAAGTTGTCAACGTACATGGATAAATTTCAGTACTCTAGAACATTATGTTGCTTTTGTATTGAAATGTTGTCTTTTTCGACCTTATCATACGGTAATCATTAACATACAACGGATCCGGGATAACTCGGCCTTAAGCCTCTATCTCACCTACATTTTGAAAGAGAGGCTGAGTCAGCCCGGGATTTTAGAATGATTGCGTTTTTTCCTCTTTTTTTTGTGTATATCAGTTTCACTTGATAGGAATGTGCCAAATAAGTAGTAATTAGGTAATATTGTTTTCAAGTGGTAAAATTCTATGAAAACATGGAATTAAGGGCTGTGTAATTTTAAATCGGTAACACCTGAAAGATTGTCTAATTGCCCGACTTTGATTATCATATCCTTATTTGTCATGGGTATTTCATGTACCACACATTTCATATTATTATATTCACAGAGGTCCCAACAACACTTGGCACGATGCCTCCTACTACAGTCGAAGGTGTGTACAAATACTAGTATTTTGATTTTAGAATCGATGTTAATATGATGAATAGTAGGAGTAGTAGCTGCATCAGTTAGAGTGGTAGTAGTAGTAGTAGTAGTAGTAGTAGTAGTAGTAGTAGTAGTAGTAGTAGTGGTGGTAGTAAAAGTAGTAGTAAAGAAGCAGAACTGGTAGTTGTAGTATTTGAAGTAGTAGTAGTAAAAGTGGTATTAGTAGCAGTAGTAGTAGTAGTACTAGTAGTAGTAGTAGTAGTAGTAGTAGTAGTAGCAGCAGTAGTCGTATTCGTAGTAGTAGTAGTAGTAGTAGTAGTAGTAGTAGTAGTAGTAGTAGTAGTAGTAGTAGTAGTTGTAGTAGTAGCATTAGTAGAAGTAGTAATAGAAGTAGTAGTAGTAGAAGTAGTAGTAGTAGTAGTAGTAGTAGTAGTAGCATTAGTAGAAGTAGTAGTTGTAGTAGTAGTAGTAGTAAGTAAATCTTGTTGAGATTTACATGAAAACTTGCAGTGAAAAGGTATTTATTGAAAGAAGATCTCTGAGCAAGATAATGAGGTATACATTCTGTTCTTTCTACCATCAGTAGCGCAAACATCAATGTCTACAGATGGTACAATTACCACAAGGCCTACTAGAGACCCACCCACTCCGGCTGTAGGAGGTAAGTCTATTTCAACCAAGTTTCAGATAAGAAAGTCTTAAAGCTAGGGCAGATCAGGGGAATAAACATTAGAATATAGTAATAATAACAATGATAATAAAAAATAATAATCATATCATAATAATATAAATAATAATATTAATAAATAATAACTTACAGTCTGTCTTGTTTATTTCACCATTTGCTCTCATAAAATTTGGGTAATCATAACCATAGCTTTTAGTTTTTAAAAATCGTGTTCTAGTGGATAAGTAACTTTTGAAATGGTGCTTGGCCGAAATTCTTCTCAGGGAGTTGTGTTTGTAAACTCTTATATGTACGAATTTTGCAAAATGATCCAACGACCAGAGTAATAACAATGATAAGGTAAAGCGCTTGAAATCCTAGTATTAAGTGTTAAATAAACGTGAATATTATTTAATATTAATTACAGATGTTTCAAATGGTAAGGACAAACCATGGCTGGTTCCTGTAATAGCTACAATTGCTGTCTTGTTAATCATCACTCTGCTTGTTGTTATAGTGGTTTTCGCCTATCGAAGGAGGTAAGATGAAACCGTATCTAAAACAATTATATTTAGGATAAAAGTAATCTTCCTACCTATCAGCTACTCGAGGGTGACAACAACTGAGGATAACCATAGAGTAACAAGGATGTAGTTCAACGAAACCGCCACAATAAGTTCACTGACATCAGTTGAGACGTGTCTTAAATTATAACCCGCGCTTCATTTGGATGTCGGTGAACTTGTACCAATGACAGTTTCGTGAAACGCTTTCCAGAACAATATCTTTCCCACTCAATTTTGATTTCTGTTCAATTTTTGGTTAATAAAGCACAATCGAAAAATCAACTCAAGGGCACGTTCAAAACACTCATGTATTTCACACCTGAATCATGTTCGAATTACGTACTAAGTCACTGTAAAATTCACACATTTTGACCAATAGGTGAGGAATAAGGTAAAATGAAATCGTCTAGTTCAAACCACCCACCAAAAGGCTTAATTCGCGTAAGTCTATACAAACGTGTCGCAACAAACCTACAGCATGTTTAACACGTTCTTTTATGCCAGCTTTTGGCTCATTTCAAAAGCTGGAATCTTCTTCTTATCGAGTCACTACACCGCTGGAAGGGACTTGTGTAGTGACTCGATAAGAAGAAGATGCCAGCTTTTGAAATGAGCCAACATGAAATGAGATGTTACATAAATCAGAAATGACTTCTGTCTGCTATACCTTAGTGTATTTTAATTGTCACGATTGATCAATATTGTCTTCAGGTAGTATCACTTTTGGGGGAGAGAAGTACAAGATGGGAAGGATTCTCAAATAAGGGCAACACTTGTTTTCTGTTAACATTTTAACACGATCGCATCTAGAGTCGAACAATCAATCTAAGGCAAGCTCAATAGCTATGCTCGTCATCTATTGAAATTTGCGAAATGGTTTCTTTGGGAATTGCAAAAGGGTCTTTATATTAACCTTCAGTTGATATTTTGAAAATAGAGGCAATTGTGTTATGTTTAATGATGTAACTGTATCTAAAATTGAACAACGTCGCCTAATAGTATAATTGTTAAGAGACAGTTGTATTAGGCGCTATATCAAAATTAAATATTGTTATTATTATTATTATTAGCAAACATATAAGAAGACTGACGTAGAATTAGGAGCAGAAGTAGAAGGTCAAGGACGCGAAGACATAGAAACTAAAAGTATAATTATAAACTAAACAAATTGTAATCCTGTGTAGACGACAGAAGTTTCATGTTATGTCTAGTGGAACTACATGCAAGGCTGTATTATAAGAACGAATGGTGGAGGGTCTACGGTACATAGGTATAACGAATTAGACATATAAAACAGTAGCAATTAAACCATCCGTATACGTTTCTTATTCTTTAAAACAATGAAGTGGTGTCTTTGGCGTCCGCATCACTGCTACAGATTAAAATAATACAGGTGTAGTGGAATAGTGGTTCATAGTTCGCATTACTCGCAAACTCGCTGTCTATCGGTTGAATGTTCCAATCCCAGCCTGGCACTAACGACCTTTGGCAAAACATTAATGCACGTTTGCCTTCCGCCACCAATTTGAAGGTGTAAACGGATTCCAGATAATTATGTTACAGTAATTTTGTTAAACCTGGCCGCTCGATTATCACCAAAATATTGTGTTAAAGTCTATCAGGTGGTTATCTCATCAAATCAGCTCTTAATTAACATAAGAACAAGGGGACTATGGGGTGCAAGTAGTTACCAGTAGTGAAGTCCCACTTTAAAAAAAGTGTAGTAGAATAACGGCAAGCAAAAATAAATGTATACACAAGGAAAGAAGTGAAAGAGGGGGGAAATGGCATATTTCAAGACGTTCTTACCCTTCCACATCCCCCCATCCCCATGTCAAAGGGGTTAACGTCGGGAGACTTTTATTCCTATAATCCTGCAAACTCTGAATTAAAAGATGGCTCTACAACCAGTTTGACCTATAGTGTATTCTTCTTTTACCATATTTACATATTTCTGCAAACAAAGGAAACCCAACGAAACCAAGAAGCCAAAACCAGATATCGAATATTACGCGGATTTACGAAACCACCAAGAAACCGACAAACTAGGGAACGGGGATGATGGGACAGTCAACGGGAATGTGAATGCCACCACGCCATCTACATCTGCTGCTGATGCTTTCAAGGTTCAGGGCGGGAGCAACGTCATGAGCGCCGATCTTGTTGGGAACCCTGTCTATGAGAGCGGGGACGCGACGCCACGAGGAGAAGAGGGTGGTGCAAGCGAGTCACTCATAAAAAACCAACTCTACGAAGGGTCGGGCAATGATCAGGAGGAGAGTAACGAAGAGGATGGGGATGGACCAGGTGATATTCGCTTTCAGCAAGTCAGGGGTAATGCATTGTATGCAGTTGTCAAAAACTGAGACTAGTGGCGTAGCGTAACTTCACCATGCTCTTGGATGGAGCACTGAATAATTGGGGGGGGGGGGGGGTGATTGGTCTTACTAGCTCGGGAAAACGAAATGCGAAACTGTGCAGGTATACTAATAGTGGCTATAAACCTAACTGTATTTCGCGGTGTAGTTTAAAGTTCGTATCCAAATTCCTAGTCAGCGAAAAACCCGTGATTTATAAAATACTTGTAATATAATACTTTGGAAGTATACCTAAATGATAAATATACCAATAAGGCTGCGGATACTTAGTAAGTATAAATATCCTATGAAATGTAAGCAGCCTTGTCGGACTGGTGCCACAGGGTAATCCCCCGCTATGACATTGTTTTGTATATATATATATATATATATATATGTCAGAGTATGTCGAGCATTTGACTCAGCAGCTCCCGATTGTGGAACAGTTTCCCTAACACACGTATGGACTGTAAATAAGTATATAATTTCTAGGCCAGTCTGAAAACTTATCCAATGGCCAACTTTAACTAATATCATCTTTGTTTACCATGGATAATGTAATGTAAGCATACTTTTGTCTAAGTGTAGTGTATATGTAGCTCATTTTAAGCGCCTTAAGGACCCTCTGGGTGGATATGTTGCGCATTATAAAGTCTTTATAACTGATAGTATAACCTTGTTATGTATTGGTTTTATAAGCTTATTATGTTTATTGTTATTTTTTTTAAAATGTATACAAGTCTGCCTTCTCCTTTGTTATTTCCTCTGTCATAAATATAATCTGAACAATTAAATTGAATGTTGGTATTTGCGTTTCAATCATATCTACTGCTGCGACCTTTTAATGTTCACTCTCAATTCATAATGTTTAGATGAACTGTAATAAACAACGTAAGATTTGTATTTCCTTTTAAGTATACACCACTTTTAGTTTCGAAAAGAAGAACTGCACTATTGTTGGTTCATGTTATAGTGTAAATAATGAACTACGAACTTTCTATATTGTCTTTGTTTGTGAGGTGTAATTGTACACGCGTGTGCGTGTGTGTATGTTGATTCATAGGTCCATGGTTGATTTATGTATACCGAAGGAGTTATGCCACATATGTGGTGTGTTACTACAGACATAGAAATAGTTACATGTTTTGTAAGTTTGTAAGTGTGCCGTGTGCAGATACGTTATTATCATTCGAATCGGGAAAACAGTTAAATACATGATATATAAATGTTTATAAGGTAAACGCATACAAACAAATTGTTTGTATTTTTAAAATATGATATTATGTGTATAAAGTACCTGCATGTTCGAGAATGATGTTTGTATTTTAACTACACATTAAAAATAGCTCAATAATATTGGAAATGGTCAAACGATTTACAATTCGAAAACTCTTTTATGCCTTCAAATACCATTTTGAATTTCATTCAACATATTCAAGTAAATTAATTAAAAGACAGATATGATGTAAATTAACATGTTTTACTCATTATTTACTCCTGTCTCCTTAAGATCATTACGTCAAATATTATGACAATACAAGTATACCATTCATCAAACGGAAGCTTAAGATTGTTTAACCTGGCAAGGATTGCTTGATAAATCAAACAAATTATATGACAAAAGACTTCAGTGGATATCATGATCTAAGAACCTCTGCTTGATATTAAGTGGCCTTTAAATGAGGAAGTCGTTCTTACATGCTATAACACAATGCAATACTGTTACCTCCTTCGAAATGAAACACCAAATTCAAGGTCTAAATAATTGGACCTGAACATCTATTTACAGTCCGTCAAGGTATCGAACTTCAACAGGTATTGAGAAGCATGGTAAGGCAAATGATTGCGTAGGAAAGAAAGAAAACATTAGTTGTGTTGACATTTCTTTTCGTACGTCAACACGTTATCACGAAGGCATCACCATCTTCTGAATCAATGCTGCTTTTCCTCACGTTCATATGAGAGCAAGTTGTGAACTTGTTAGAGAGAAATTATGGGTTTTCTGTGTGGCTGTTTGATATGTAGGTTCATTGGGGGGGGGGGGGGTGGTTGGCGATAGGTCACTTGAATGAACCCATGAACACTGGGAAGTAGAATCTTTTACCTCAAATTTGTGTTATGCTTACTATTTATTATTACACTGGTATAATTTGCATTTTTTAATTGGTCAAAAAAACAATGACCAAAGACATACATAAAATCTCGCAAGATGTAAAAAACAGGTAAGAGAGAGAGAGAGAGAGAGAGTGAGACAGACACATAACGGAAAGAGAGAGAAACTGGGGAGGGTGGAAAGGGGGAGAGAGAGAGGGAGAGAGGGGGAGAGAGAGAGAAAGAGGGAGAGAGAGAGAGGGTGGAGTGGGAGAGAGGGTGGTTGAAGGAAAAGAGTGAATGAGAGAGTTTCGCAGATAATAGAAATTTGACAAGGACAGAGAACATACCCCTGTACATGGTTATTTTTATTCTCTCAATAATATTGTTTAACAGTCTAACACTTAACACGTGAAATGCGTCTTTACACGTCCAGCTATATGTAGAGGAAAAGATCACATGTCCAACACTTAACCTTTCATAAAAGTACATTCGTTTAAATGTAGACCTGGCAATGGGAAGTTTAATATGTTTTTTCATCAAAATGAAGACAGGTTTCGATATCGCATGTCAATAAACACAACCCCTTTCCACTTGGTTGAATGCCACAGATTACGAGCTATTTAAGTAAATATCACAACCATTCGTGGAGTTAATGCGATGTCACGCACTGTGGAAAAAAACCATCAAACAGGAACAGACATAAGAAGGACGGAAATACAGCAATCAAGTGTTTCCTTTTAGATATACGCCGTCGCAAATAATTTCACTATTACAAATCCAGCCGGACATGATTATGAAGGCGAATTCACAATATGCTCTGCTGTACAGCTAAGATCTATGCACTTTTATGTCCGTCGTTATTTATCATCTGAGTACACAGAACAATCCAGCATGGAACTTTATGAACGGATGGCTATCTTCGCGATAATCTGCACAGGACTCTGTTCAGCTGTTGATCCAGGTAAATTAACTCACTGATTAGATACACTCGATTGCTGCTCAGGCATATTTTTTTTGTTAACCTTTATCATTCTCTTTCAATGAAACCGATGAATATATATTTCTTTTTCCCATTCAATGTTTGTGGTACATTAATCATTTAATCACAAATGCATTCTAATAAGGAAATATAGTAAACATGTTCCTGTCACCTGTTCACTCTTCCACTCTTGTTATACCAAAATAGTAAATACAATTACAGTTTGTTTCAATCTAGATAACAATATTGTTACAGTTGACTGAGATATTCACTATAGATTAGCAGCCTAGATAGAAAGCCCACGAGGCCCACCACATCGGTCTCCTGAATCCTTTAAAAAGTTGCTATAACCGCACAAGCCATCTCTCAAACTGTCTGACTCGTATAAAAATCAGATATAATTTTCAGAAATGCACGGAAGAGCGACATTGTCATTTCTGTGGGTCGTCGGTCTCGTGGGCCACCGGGTTCATGAACCGCCATGAGCTAACCTTCAAATGGCTGTGACTGTAGTTATGTGGCCTGAAATGCCCGACATGAACGAGGGCTTTTAATAGTTAATAATACTTTTCCAATATTTGTTTTAGCGTGAGGTAATGCGTACATGTATATTTTGCCTATCACAATATTCTAACTTTGCTTTATATTAATAGATTGGTCATGTGACTTTGCAAATGGCACATGTGGAATCATTAAGGTGAAAGGGAGCTGGACAATCGACAACGGTACGTGGTAAACTTTTAACTGAAACGTATTTGCCTCTTCCTGAAACACATGTGTTGACTAGTCAGCCTTTGACTGTTTACAAACGAGTAACATGAGAAACCAAATTCATAATATATCCATTGAATTTACTTGTTTGAATTATTATATCCCTTTTACCATTGCAAACAAATCTCAGAAATAAGACCATTGGCTTAGCGTGACGTACAAAAAACAGCTGTGTCTATAAAAATGAAGTGGCAGCACTTTCCTGCGAGAGGTCCTATGTTCTTTCGGTGCTCTGTGTTTACATCCTTTGGAAAGGTGTTTTGCACATATTTGTCCTTCTTTGCCAAGGTATGAATACAATGCTGTGTAAATAAACATTACAGAGCCCACACTAAAAGATATTATACAAAGTTACCTTGTATAACTATAGGACCAAATTGTTATTCTTGTGTACATTTGCGCGGTAGTAAAGCCAATGAGTTTTAAGAGCTGGAGTCATGTCTAGCTCATTCCATTTGTACCATATTCGATGCTTCTAGGAGAAAATATGTCAGGCATGTTCTAATGCCGTTTCACATATACACTCCGGGGAATTTGGGAATTGTGTTGCTGGTGTGCGGCCGGCTTCCGTACAGTTCCTACGGGCGTCGGGACAACTTTTACAGCCGTACGGGCTCCGTGGTGCTGAGTTGACTGCTTTCAATTCTGCTGGCGTTTTCCTCTGACCGTTAGGCTGTAGAAGGCCCATAAAGGGCCCGTGGGGCACCGTATGGGACCCATGCGGGCTCCGGATGGTGCCCCAATGGCCCCCTTCAAGAGTTTTGTTTGTAAATACCCAATTTAAAAACGCAGCTTTAAATGCAGGAGGCGCGGATGTCAGAGAACAAAGTTCACTGCACCGTAGAAATGAAAATCAGAAGGGTCCCGTGCGGTCTCTGAAACCCACGGCTCGCCGCCGGGTAGGAAAAATCGTACGGGGCCCGGTGTATATGTGACATAGGCATTACCTGGAGCTTCCTTGTAGGTACGTAGACAAAAGAGTCCTGCCTAGCTGCAAACTAACATGCCACTTCCAAAGGAAAATATGCTTTTGTAAGCTTTTGTCCAGCTCTTAAAACTTCTTGGTAAAACAAAAATAATAATAAGTATTGTATTTTCCTATCGAAAGGATACAGGGGACCTATTGCAATTTCAACTTGTTTTCTTCAAACTATATACAGGGGCTCTAATGGCAAACACGTCTGCACGTAGTCCAGGTGACATGTTAACATTCTCCATCCCACACACTTTCACATCACCGCGAGGAAATGTATCTTTTGGATACTTATTAGCGGGGGTTGATTCATCCATATCGGTCAAGGTTTGCAGGGAAGCAAGTGAACCTGCATTTACAGTTGTTGGTATGGGAAGTCCGATGCCAGTTACTGAAGTCGTTCCTTACTCATGTGCAAGCACAATGGATGTTGAGGTTTGTCATCAAGGAATTATGTTCTACTTTTAAAAAAAATATTTGCATGTCTCATGTATGCTAACAAAAGACAGATTTCATGTTTGTATATATTATTTCCATTAGAACGGCCTAAATAAATACAAGACATGTACAGCACCACACTGATTAATATTTACATTGCACGAAATACATGTATTGATACCTTGTTTTCATGGGCGTCGTGGATCAGTTTCGTATCTGTTTTAAAACGAGTTGAGAATTATCAGGCTTTAAAAAAAGCTAACCTGGATTTTATATAATAGTATATATGCATGTGTAATTGATGTCTCTTTTGAATTCAATTAAAAATCCGTTTGGGAAATTTGAATATTTCTGTTCTCCTTTGTTTCTTTCTTTCTTTATTATTGCAGATAACATTCATTGCCAAGAGGGGAGGTGTACCTCCTTTAATCAAAGTAAACCTGATTCAAATATATGAAATACCATACATAGGTAAGAAGTTAAAAAGGACATTACCCTAGAAGTAGGTGCTCGTAATGCCATAAAGTTCGACCTACAAATTTAAACTAAATCTGTATGAATCTAAAAAGAACAGCTTCATTAATAACATTAAATAAAAAAAAACAATCAAGTGCATTCTATATAGATTTAGCACTAAGACGATAGCAAGTGCTTGCAAGAAATCAACTCAAGTGCGATGTCAATATTCTTTTGTATTGTCGTTTGGAACCCTTTTCAAATTACGTATTATATCAATGTCATGTGCGGATAACCATGTAAAAATGTGACGCCTAGGCACTCTCCACGACCCTCCTGTGATCGATTGTCAAAACAAATTGCAATTATATCAGATATAAAAGTCTCAACGAACAACATTTTCCGGATTTAGGTTCTAAATAATGATAACAATGCTAACAATAATAATTTTAAATTACACATTGTTTTACTATAAATATCAAAAACCAAATCGGCTTTACGTTGTAGACAATCGGAATACTGGTCTGACGTCGCTACGATTGTGAGGCAATTTACCTATTCTACCTCTAAGGAATCATTAAAATCCCTTGAAATTCGTATTTTATTAATCAGATCCTCGGTCATTATGATTTTACAAGTTCGAATATTCATATGAGATGCTACTGCATATTATTCAAAAACCGGATCATAATGGTGAACGGTCGGCTTAAGGCTAATGAAATTGTCTCAAGTTCATTTCTTGAAAGTCATTGCGATCTCATTTAATGTACTCTCTTTCAAAATACATAGTTCAATCTGTAACAACTTCATCATCATCAACTAAGTCATTCACACCAAACTCCTTTTCCGAAACAAACGCCCCTTCTAGCGCTAGAGGCAAATCAACCAAATCCTTTCCAGTTAATTTTTGTTTTCATTTTTACAATTTATCTAACATCTGATATTTTACTAGATTCTTTCATATATCACCTCCACTTTTGTGTAGTACTTTGCACGGGTATATCTGAGCGATAGTATGCTATTATTTCCTTGTATTTATATCACATAGAAAGGTGTATGTATGATCTCTGTTCATGAAGGAATGATAATGAGAAATATGAAAACAACCTCAACTGAAACTGAAGATATTCTTCTTAGCATAACTTCGTTATGAATATAGTCCCATTGGTGCAGGTTAAATGATCAGGTTGAAGTAAAAGCTAATCCGAAGCTAGCATCATAATAACGCAGGAATGAAACAGTATTGAAACAGTATAAAGACCTATTAATTACAAGAGGACTGTGTCTCGAGTGTGCATCATATTGAACATTAACACCTAATTAAATATCTAACGTATCTAGATCATAGATTGTGTGGCTGGATTTAGGCTAATAAAATGGTCTCAGGTGCATTTCTTGATAAGTCATTGCCATCAAATAATGTACTGCCTTTTCGAAATACATAGTTCCATCTGTAACCACACCATCATCAACTGAATCATTCACAAGTAACTCCTCTTCCGAAACAAACGACCCTTCTCGCGCGACAGGCAAATCCACCATTTACATAGAAGGTAAATTTCATCTCCATTATTACAATGTATGTAACATCTCATATTTCACTAGATTCCTTCATATATCACCATTATTTTGTTTTCATACACCGTGGGTATATCTTACTAATCTGTATGATTTTCTCACTGTCTTTTCATATCATATTATTCATGCTACTATTTCCTTGTATTCTTATCCTACAGTAGGGTGTACGATTTCATTTCATGAAAGAATGATGATGGAAAATATGAAAACAAACTCAACTGAAACAATGTGTATCATATAAATCTGTTTTGAAGAGAATGTGTAAAAGAAAACCACAATGGCCATTTTTGCTACAGGTTAAATGTATACCTACCAGGCTGAAACATTCATAACAAAGGGGCAATGTAACGGTGTAATGCATCAGATTATCGTTTTATCAAATGAAATTATTAGTCTTCTGTACTTTTTTGTCAGTATGAATACCTATTATTGACCAGGAGGACTGTGTCTCGAGTTTAAATGTAGTTGACCAGTTACACCTACCTTAATGTCGTACTTCTCTAGAAAATGAGATCAAACAAATGAAATCTAAAAGAACATATCTGGATAATATTAGAGTGAAAATAAAATGTTCTTTTGAACCAGTAAATTCTTTAGCTATTATTGTATATTCTTCAAGTTTCTGAGGTTTATTGCAACATGTTCCCACATACTCCTGTTCTCTGCCATTCGTCCTAAACAAGTCGACTTGCCGAATTAAAACAACTCGTCAGCTCATCCCCTCGTCCTAATTAACTCGGGTTACAGGATTAAAACAAGTCGTCATCTTATTTGTGTACGAAACAAGTCGACTTGCCGAGTTCAAACTACTGGTCTTCTCGTCCTTCACCTTGTCTCCTCATCTTAGTCCTCTTATTTCGTAATCTCGTCGGCACTTTTAAGCTACCTTAGATATAATCAAATCCGTATGAACTAAAATCTGTTTGTATTGCAGCTTCGTCAACTCCATCACCGGTTAGGAGCATGTCGTGGATTATCCCTGTAACGTCTGCTCTTGTTGTCTTCTTCGTTGTCATTCTGGTTGTTCTAATTGTGCTGTATTGCTATCGGCGAAGGTATGATCACGTATAAATAGATATACTGATGGTTATTGTCACAGAAGGTCATAGCACCTTGCATGTAATATAAATCGTAAATTTCAATTAGTTTGAGGCGTATTTTTGAGTTTTGGACATTTGGTTGAGAATATACAAACGCAATGTAAACATTTTTAATCGAAAAATAATCGAACATGTAAATATTATCTTAAAATTTAAATTCGAAAATAATGGACGAGACAATATTTATATGCACCTCTAACTGTGAAGCAACAAAAAACCCTTTAAATTGTTTGAAGAAACTTTTAAGATGGTATCTGAATTACATGCTTGAATTCATAAGCAGTACTTAAATATAGTTAGCCGAATCGTAATAGTGACGACAATAGTAATGAGAAGGATAAAGATTGTTCTTATACCGATGCGGATAACATGATGTAATAAAAACATATTTCTTATTTATATTTCATCTTCCATTTTTGCCTGTTGTTTTTCAATTCAGGAACCAAGCAACCAAACCAGAAGAGAAGGTGGTCCCACGAAAAGGAGCTTCGAAATCTCTTGCAGGCGATTCTGAAGTTCAATATTCATACCCGAAGCTACCTGCAGACTCGGAGTGCTACTCTGAAATTAGTAACGGCCAACAGCCCCTAAAGGTTGTTACCATAGGTGGTAATGGAAAAACCAAAAGGAACGTTGGTCTACACGACAATCAAGGCCCTAATTTGTCGGCGGCTGCTGGTTTCAAGGTAAATAACTCGAACAGTGCCGTGTGTTCTAATCTTGTCAAGAACTCAGTATACGAAGGCCGCGATCTGATTCCTACACGAGGCACAGGTGATGCCATCGATTCTGTCATCAGCAGTCCTCTGTATGAGGAAGCTCTCGACAATCAATCACAGTCGGCGCCACCAGATGATCTGATAGACAATCCTTTATATGGAGGCAAGATGGACGAACCCGATGGACAGGTGCACAATGGGCTCCCAGGACCACCACCTACAGGTGACCTTATAGATAATCCTTTGTATGGAGGACAGAATGAAAGACCTACTGGGCAGGGATTTAGCACTCGATCAGAAGCTGATACACCAGATGATCTTGTAGACAATCCTTTGTATGGAGATCAGAGCGGCAATCTTGGTGATGACGGATTTAGTACTCAACAGGGATCAGCAGCCACAGACGAGCTCATAGACAATCCGTTGTATGGAGGCCAAAGTGGCAAACCCGATGGACAGGAGTCCAGTGAGCTACCCGGATTCCCGCCTAATGATGACCTTATAGATAATCCCCTGTACGGAGATGGATGTGACGGACCCGTGGGGCAGGCACTCAACAATCAAACAGAATCGGTGCCAACGGATGAACTTATAGACAATCCTTTGTATGGAGACCAGAGTGGCAAGCTTGGTGATGACGGATTTAGTACTCAACAAGGATCAGCAGCCACAGATGAGCTCATAGACAATCCGTTGTATGAAGGCCAAAGTGGTAAACCCGATGGACAGGCGTCCAGTGAGCTACCCGGATTCCCACCTTCTAATAATGACCTCATAGATAATCCTCTGTACGGAGATGGATGTGACAGACCTGTGGGGCAGGGACTCAACAATCAAACAGAATCGGTGCCAACGGATGAACTTATAGACAATCCCTTGTATGGAGGCCAAAGTGGGAAATTCCATGGATATTGATTCAACCGACATCTATGATGGGTGTCAACAGGTCTCGTACAAAATCCGCTCCTGGCGTCTCCTTGATTCTACTGGGATCGGTCCGAAAGAGTTCAATGGGGACTAGGATTCAAGGGAGCACCGAGTTCGGTGCCATCACCTAACCTCAAACCTTAGGCAACCAACTGCATATACGGACTGATACCCCACTTTGTAAGGATTGAGACGGAACCACATCCATTGCTCTAATAAAAAGGTGGAGCATATAAGGACGTCAATTATCATATTTAGACAGTAGACAGCATTAATCAAAGTCAAGCATGGACAACAGCAAAATGTTTTAAATATTTTGCATTTTGCTAAGATCTTTCTTTCTTGTTCCTTTTTGTTTTGTTTTGTTACACTATTACTTTGAGACTCTTCGGCTTTTACCGTCTATACTATTCATTATTTGTGATCATAACTTTCTAGCGTGTTTTTTGTCAATGTTGTACATGTCTATATATATATATTTTGCACAATGATTTAGAACGCTATTGATAATTTGTTATACGGATGTTAAACTTTAATCTGTGCGTCCGTTGTACATATTTAGATTAGGTCATTTAAGAAATATATGTATATACACATACAGATTCCCTGTGGATAATTAATAGTTTTGAAAGAGACAAAGTACATTGTAAGTAATTGCAACAACAAAAACAAAATCTATTTTTATCCTGGTCTCTACTTCTCCTGGGATTGTACATAAGCTTACAATTATATATATATGTGTGTATGTTTTGTTTAACTTAGTATGTATATCATGTTAATCGTTAATGTATGTTTCTTTGTAAAAATTTTGATTGCCTTTTATACGCACGGCCATGCTGAAGAACAGCCATTGGCTGAAGTATGCCACCGTGCTAAAATAAAATAAACAAACAAACAAACAAACAAACTATGCACTCATACATTCATGCGCAATTATGTCTATGTACATACTTCTTTCATTGCATATCGTAACTGATAGCGATTATTTATGATTATGCGCATTGATTCATGAAATATGCTAATTGTAGGCGGTAAATAAAATACAGTTAAAGGGAAACAGTAATTCATATTCTTCCTACGTTTGATGTCTTTTTTTAAGTATGGGGAAAATTGATTTGTCCGGATTTATGTTTCCTGAGAAAGTCACATATTAAAGCTTGCATCTAAAAGTATTCAACGAAAATTATAATCAAACCAGTCCACCTTTCATTCTTGACTTACCAAAAAGACAAACACATCAAATTTACAACGCTTATGAATAGTTTAGTAGTTGGCTTTATATGAATATATGAATTTCTGTTTTTGTTATTGACGTTAAAACGTATTAACAAAGACCAGCAGTACATACTGATATAGGGCTAATATTCTTCAGCGTCTTGCATTGTACACTGTTGGTCATAATGGTGGAATAATTATTTTTACCCCAATTTATTGATGAATTTGACAATGATTTATTTCTAATAGATCTAGATAATAGAATAGATAATAACATGCAATAAATTATTGAAAAATGATTGCATTTTCTTTGTTTCTTTTTTGGTTTTTGTGGGTGCGTCGACGTACCCTAGCGCCCGCTGCGTACAGTCATGATTCGTTGGCTAAGCAATGGCCTCGTTACTGTGAGCCCCCAGGATCAAAACCGTGTCGATGTGCTATATTAGTGCCCTTTTATGAGGCATCAATCCCCATTACTGTCAGTTATGACTTAAGGACGTAGGTCCCCTAGTTGATTAGAATAGTAGCACACACATGCTTTAGCAGTCACGCAAAACAAACACTCCCCAGTTGTCATTCAATAAAATCTGAGAATGTATACTATTATCTAGATCTATTAGGAATAAATCATTGTCAAAATCATTCAATAAATTGGGGTAAAAAATAATTATTCCACCATTATGACCAACAGTGTATTTGCATAGGTCACAGCAACAGCTTACTTATTCCATGATTATAAATGTATTTTGAGAAGCATACTTATTTTTAATTACCTATCATTGTAGTTTCCGCATTATATTTCCTTGTCAGAAACCGAAACAAAGTTTCAAGAAATTAAAGCACAAAAATGAATATCTTATATTTATATCGTCATTTCCGGTTTCAAAATGTCTTCCCTAGAACGTCCACACACGCATTCTCCGTAATGCATTGTGTTATTATTAAAACTAGTATATATCAGCAGCTGAAAACAAACAGGATCAGAGAGAAATATGGAGTTGAGCGGAGTGTGGAGATAAGGAGGGCAGCAAATAAATATATAAATATATATATATATAGAGAGAGAGAGACAGAGAGACAGAGATATAGAAAGAGAGAGAAAGAAAGTGAGAGAGAGAGAGAGAGGAAGAGAATAAATGAATGAATGGATATTTAATGTTATATAATATATTTTAAAAACTATGATAACGATACAAACAGCAGAAGTAAGAGTACAATAGTAAGCCCAGTTGTAACAATGACGATAATAGTAATGAAAAGGAAAAACATTGTTCTCATACCAATGGGGATAATAATTCGTTTTTATTCTAAACAAAACAAATATTGAAAGTTTGGTTAGACCAAGGCTTGTCCTTCATGGTATTGGGCAAAAGATTTGAAAGCGTCATGTAGTTCAAATGACATTGAGAAAGACACAGTTCCAAGGTGAGTCGCCCATGATGCAGACATTGGGGGTGAAGAAAGAGAAATAGATAGAGAGAGAGAGAGAGAAAGATAGAGCAAGTGAGAGAGAGAGAGAGAGAGAGAGAGAGAGAAAGAGAGAGAGAGAGAGAGAGTGAGAGAGAGAATTCACAATAATAATAATAATAAATTGTTTCTTTTATAGCGCTATATCCAGTTTACAACTGATCAAAGCGCTTTACAAAACAAATACATCAATGAATTAAAACTCAACAAAAATATGCTAGAAAATATAATGCAGTTAATTACAATGTAAATAGGTGTGTTTTTAGATGTTTCTTAAATACTTCAATTGACATAATACATCGTAATTCACAAGGTAACCTATTAAATGTAACCGGACCACTGCAGTGAAAACTTCGCTCACCTATCTTCGATTTTAATCTAGGCACATGGAGAGCCGTTGTGTCTGTAGTTGAGCGAAGATTATATGAGGAGTGACGAGAAGATTGTAACAAGGAAGACAAATATTCAAGTGCAACATTATGTGTTCATTTGTAAACAAACAGTGCGGTTTTGTATATTATTCTTTTTTCGACCGGTAGCCAATGAAGTTGTCTAAGGAGGGGTGATGCATGATCCTGTCTCCTAGCTCGAAGAACAACACGAGCAGCACGGTTTTGAATACGCTGAAGTCTTTGAACTTCAGTTACTGGGGCACTAATGAGAAGGGAATTGGAATAATTCAGCCGACTAAGGACTAGCGAACGGACAGCGTGATGACACACTTCTTCTGTCAAAAATCTCCTCACTCTTGAAATGTTGTAAAGGTGAAAATTCAGAGATTGGCTCAAAGCAGTAACTTGTTTGCTAGTGGACAACGAAGAATCAAATATCACCCCTAAGTTACGAACATGATCGGATGTCTCAACTTGAGAATTACATACAGATAGAGAAATATTATCTGAAAGATGATGTCTGAGTTTAGGAGATACAAGAACCATCATCTCTGTCTTATTTTCATTAACTTTTAATCTATTGTGAGACATCCATCAACTTAGTTAAGCAATACAATCATGAAGAACACCCATGACTACTAGGTCTTTTTGGATCGAAACTACAATACAACGCACAAACAACAACAGCAACAAAAAAATCAAAACAATTTTTACTTTTACTTGTATTACTTTGCTCGTACGGACACCGAAGCCAATTTCGTGTTTTTTTGTTTTTTTTAAATATTTTTTTAGTAATGCCCCTCACATCATCAATATCCACGCCGTCATATAGGATTTCTCGGCGAATTTGCGATCGAGTTTGTTATTCAAATTCCATTACCTTGCATTTATGTTAGCGCAGATCGGCTTTGCCATGCCAATTATCATTCGATTTTCCCGTTTTTGTGTTTAATTTAGGATTTTGGTCGAAGGGTTTCATAGATATGTCATTTAATTTAGAAACTGCTCAACTCGCATTCAAATTAATCGTCACTTGTCGAGGCCTCATTTTCATTATTTAAACTAACACCTGTCATTCGTATTCGAATTGTGTTTTTTCAAGTTAGGAATTTTAGTGGAAAGAAATGCAAGACACGTTTACAGTTTTAAAATAAAGTAATTAAATGCATGATTTGCCATTGGGATCTTTGCTGTTATTCCATTTTATTCCAAATGCATATGGGGGTAGTCAGAAATTAGGTAAAGAGGGGGCGAAATCAAGGAATGTGGGATTTCTGTACGGGCATGTTTATATATCCCGGAAAGGTGGGATACAAAAATATATATTCCAGTCATTATATTGTACCCTTCCTCCATAATTGTGATACATGTATGATGAAACACAAGACAAACACATTCCTTACATTAAAAATTATAAACATATTGAGCCCATCAAGGCCGTAGGTACAAGTCGTTATTTTCTCCTCAACAATCCGCCCGGCTGTTTTGCGGTAGCTCTCGGTTTAATGGATTTTTGTATTTTGTACTATGCCATTTACAATGTTTCATCAATGAGATATATATTTAATCACATCAGACTGAATGATGTTATCGAATAGCTTTACAAAATAGTTTCGTATTTTCCTAAATACAGAAAGAAAACCTTGGTCTAAGGATACACAATAGAAGATTAACAAACATGGTGACTCGCCGGGTGGAAGCGGCACTCGGTTTAATTGTGTAGGTTTTTTTAAAAGACTATATAGCCTTTACAAGTGTTTCATTGATGAGAAATATTTTTAATCAAATCAGCCTGATTGATGTAATCGAATAACATAACAATATTAGCTTTGCATTTTCCTAAATAAACCAAGGAAACATCGGTCTATAGATACACAGAATGATATTACTTAGCATATGGTGCCCGGCTGGATTGGAGTAGGCACATTGATCTTCTAGGTGTACATGTGTTCTTTGTTATTTTTATATCCACAAATCCTTTTTTGTAAAGTTTCTTAACGAAGCCGCGAAAAAATAAAGCATTCGTGCAAAATCAAATCATATTTGAAGAAACATGGATGTAACCTTTACTGTACTGCTTTTTTTTTCAATTCTCTGTTTGTACTTGGCTTCATTGAGTACTTCGTCTCTATATTATTTCTCTTCATTCCGGAGCAACGCACGTACGAGCTTATGAGTAAATAATATACGAGTATAATACACCCGCACGTACGTCTGTAGAGTTGCCAACATATGCTACCGTGATGGAAGCATGATCTATTGGTGCAAAATTGTATGAGCGTCATACATCTTTCTCATTCTGTTTTTCGTATCATATAACTTTACTCGGTGTATCAACAGGCCTCTACATTTCTTAATTTGTTATAACCGGTTAATACCGTAAGGCGATTTAAGCTGGGAACTATTTTGTTCAAATAGCCATGGAAAATGTCAGCCTCCCATCAGCTAGCAAACCATTACCCGATGAAAACAGCTATGACCATCGCTACTCAACATTTCAATTGGCAATGCTATCGCTCATCTTCTCAGTCATCATAACTGTGACTGTCATCGGGAACATCTTGGTGATCGTTGCCTACATTCGAGATTCACGCATACGAGCGACCGTGTCGAATCTGTTCATCCTGAACCTCTCCATCACCGATGTCCTCGTGGGTGTGTTCAGTCTGACCTTTAACCTCTCAAGGTTCATCAAAGGCTTCTGGCCGCACGGTGAGATCATATGTAAGCTGTGGTCAGTCTTGGACTATTCGGTGGTCAATATCTCATGGCTCTCTATTATCCTTATCAGCCGGGACCGCTATCTTCTGGTGAGCATGGGTCTGAAGTACCAGAACTATCAGACTAAGAAGCGAGTTGGACTGACCCTAGTTGTCATTTGGACCATCGTGGTTACTTTCTGGGTTTTGGTAGCGTTTGCCTGGAGTCCTATAACTGGGTCATACAGCGTGAATTACAAAACTACCTGCTTCATGGAATATCTAACCAATCCTATAGCGCCGATTTTCATAAACCTGGTCTATTTCTGTATTAGTTTCGTCCTCGTTTTTGTCATTAACATTGCTGTCTACTTGAAAGTTCGTCAAAGGTCTAAAGGAACTGTAGGACAGGGTCCGCCAACAAACCAATCAGCAGAATCTATGTCTCGCAGGAACAGTGCCTGTCGAGCAGTACTAGTTGGAGAAAGTCACCTTGGCGATCCCGGGACAGCTAATCCAGGACAAAGTGGCCCAGGTAGTTCAGCCGATATCACTATACATACCACTGCCGGACCTACCACATCCCATTTGGAGCGAGCCGTCCCCGGTAACAGTGAAAGGGCCCAGAAGGTGAGGAATGATCGGAAGGCACTTGTCAAGCATCAGAAGGCTGCCGTAGTCTTGGGCATTCTTACAGGATGTTTTCTACTCTGTTGGTTGCCCTACATAGCAACAAGCGTTATGTTCTCATTCTGCGGAGACGCATGCATACCTACTATTTTGTGGGAGATAACCGAGGTTATAGCGTGGTGTAACTCCACGATCAATCCATTCATATATGCCGCCACCAATGTACACTTTCGTAAAAACTTTAAACGCTTTTTGTTCCTTGATCGATGGACCTGTAATGGGATTGGGCAGAGAGATAATTGATATTTAGATCAAAGGCAGTTGTTCGGCAGTTATAAGGTCTATGGATCGAGGATGTTATGGCGTAGGTTTAGAAATATAATCCAATTTGCAGCATGTAAGTCGCATTGAGGTTTATCATGCCCTATTACGCAGGTGACGATATTCATGATAATAGCTCCTCTTGAATCCACGTACATTCTTTAAAGTAACACCAAACAAATTTAAGAGCTGGAGTCTCAACTGGGATTTGTTTTTTTCAAGCAGCTGCCGATTTCTAAGGATGCACAATAGAAGCTACATTTGTGTTGTTACCTTTGATGTCCGAGGTTCGATGCCGCCAAAATCATGATTGGAATGCTTGAGTAGTATTTTTTTTCTCACAAAGAATTATATTTCACTTTGTATTTTAACTACCAAGGGAAAAATCGAACAGATGATGAAATATGAACATAAAAGCCTAATTGTGTCAGGAAATTTGGTTATATTGTATAATAGCAGTATTAATTTATGAAAAAAAGTAAACTGTTACAATCCTAAAAGCTGCAAATCGACACTTTTCCGATTACTTCCGGAACACGAAAACAAAATAAAATGAATTTGTTCAAGTACAGTTCTTTATTATGTTATATGTCAGATTAGTGCCCACACATGCCCAGTCGAGCCATTTTGATTAATATTTCAGGAAATTTGGCTCAATTTCCTTTTGCTTGCCTCCTGTACAGTTAAACAGGATTATTATCAGATAGGTGAAGTTACATATCAACAAAATCCTCCTTTTTGCACCGAAAACTCAAGCTTTGCTATTTAATATTTTGTTAAATGAGGGGAACCACACGTTTTATGGTATTTTTCATTTTAGAAGGTCTGACAGGCAAACGAAAAATATGAATGAGTATGCATACAAGTAAAGTTGCCTCTGCTCTAAGTTGATGTTCATGCACAAAATAGATTTGGGAAAATGTTAGCAATTAACTGGAAAAGTTTAAGTTTTATGGTATTCGGCCAATTGTATTTTTGCAAACATTTTCGAAAGAGAGCCATTTTCGATTTATTGTCTTTTACCATGTTTAGATAGCGTTACCAATGGCAAATAATATCTGTTGAACTGTTTTGTGTGATCTGCTTATATATTTTGTCGCGCCTTGATCGGAAGTTTCGGACACGTGCGCATTATAAATTCATATTATTATTATTATTATTATAGCCTGATTTTATCCCGTTTAGGGGTATCGTTGTTATAAGTAGGAACGACGAGCTTAGGAGCTGAATTAAAACTGTGGTATAAAAACACTAATTAATAATATTTTGAACTTTTTAAACAGCGCTTTTTACAAAATACCTTATTTATAAATGCTTTAAGCATGTTGTTATTATTATACTATTTCTATTAAATATTAGTATTATTATAGGTATTATTATTATCATTTTTTCTTACGATTGTGATTATGAGTAAGATTATTAATATTATCATTATTATTATTATTATTATTATTATTATTATTATTATTATTATAAACAAAAATAAAATGTGCAATGTTTTTCAGCAAATGATTAAAATGTCAGCAGTTAATCTTGGATGTAAAGTATTTTGATTCATATCTGAAACTGGATCCACCTGCTATTCATATCAACAGTTGACTGATAGGGAATCAGACAATACCAAAAAAAATGTGTTTTCTTCTAGATCAAAACCCTGTTTCCATTTGGTAAGGCTTTTACATTCGTTCACATTATGTTTCAACAACGACTGGTAAATATGAAAACATCCTTTTTTTTCATTTTCAATATTAGAAGTAATTCTTCAGATATAATACATATAGAGGGTTCCATCAATTTGTGTATAACATTATGTTTAAAACCCGCCCGAATAGCATTGCTTAAAGGACATACAAAGTGTTGGTATGGGGGTTATCAATTTAGTTCAAATGAACATGTTGGATGCATAAGCGATCCTACAATATTCAGTGATCGTTGTCGTGGTTGAAATCGGGTCTAAAGTTATGGATTTGTAAATAATTAACTCTTTGTGTTGTATAGCTCCCTCTCAAAGTCAAAATATCAATTAAGCTATAAAACAATGTTTCTTGACTAAAATCGACCTATTAGCTATTCCCGTTTAGAAATTATATATCACAACTACATAGCCTAAGATTTTCATGTGTGCAGCTACCTTTAACCCATTGTAATGATTACAATTTATTTGTATATCGAATTTATGTCGACATTCAAATTACGACAGAAACGAACCATCCGATTTCAAAATGTCATTCAGCGTGTTTCTATTAGTTATGCTGAATTTGATCCGGTATATATATATTTATATGTTTTCCAGAAAATAGTGAATAATGCAAGGGAAGGGCAATTTTTATCTACGCGTATTATCCGGGAAAATACACTGCTCCGATTTGGGGTTTTGTAGTGCTACATGATCTTGAAATTTTCTACATGACATTTTGAAAGCAAGCCCTTTCTGTGAGCAAAAACAACTGCAAATTGTATGGTACTTGGTGAATTGGGGAGGCTTAAACTTGAGAAATATATCGTAAGTAGAATGGTCAACTTCTGGTGTAGGATTATATAGTGGGCATTATATAGTGGACAATATACATTTTCTGGTAAGGTGTATATATTATCTTAAAATTACTCTTTGAGCAGAATATCTTTCAGGCACCTTGGTTAAAACAAAATCAAGCTGACTCTGGATAATATGGGGATGTCTATTTTATGGGAAATTAGTGAAAATACTAGCTGTGAGTGGGTCAAACAAACTTTGGAACGTCGATTGAAAGATTATCATGCTCAGTATTGGTATGCTTGTGTGTACGACAATTTACATTGTAATAAATATCGAATTTTCAAACATTCTTTATGTTTAGAAAGAAACTTAATCGATGTCATTAAAAAAGATCGGACAATATTAAGTTGTTTTCGCTGTGGAAATCATTACCTGCCGATTGTAGCTGGTAGATATTCAAATACTTCCAGGGAAATGAGGCTTTGCACGCTCTGCACTTTGCGATCGCTTAGGGATGAGTTTCATTACTTGTTTACATGCCCTGTCTTTCGTTCAGACAGAAAATTGTTCATCGATAAATATTTTATTGAAAAACCAAATACACTGAAAATGGATCAGCTTTTTAACTCCAATAATGTATAAACACGTTTAAAGACAAGAAACAGTTATGGTCATGCGATTGCATTGTGAAAGAAACGTTGTGGAATCTATCAGAAAAGGTCGATCATCTAGCTTATAAGTAATGGTGCACTGTTCTGGAATCATCGTAATGATAAGAAATTTGGACCAGTTTTGATAAAGTTACAAGCACTGTACACAGAAATATGTATATGGGACTACGTGACACGTGCGCGATATCTATCAGGTCCAAATAGATATAGCAATTTACCAAATATATCAATAAGTAGGCGGCTTCTCGGCAAAGTTTTGTACCATCATGTATCAGTAAAAACATATTCTTTCACCTGATTGGTAATAAGAGCTTTCATTTCATTTTTTTTTTGAGAAGGAGGTGTTTCCAAAACTGGTATTTACCTTTAAACATATTAAAATTCTGTCGAAAAAAATGCTTCGTTTTCATTTATTGAAGTATGTGCACAAAATTCAATATTAACTTCATGTTTCTCTTTTTTGTCTTATATGAAATTATTAAATTGATCGGCCTATCAAGAATAAGTTCAGTATTTCATTAATTCAAACATCAATTTACGGGTGCCAGGAATTGTAGTTATTATCATCGTTTTTATTTTTAATAATTATAACTATTATTATTAATATTGTTATTATCATTACAATTATTATTATCGTCATAATTTTTCTCATTATTGTCGATAGTGAGGCTTTGTATTGATTAATATTGATTCGATTTTAATTGCTTATTTTACAGTGTTAAATTGACATACTCAAACTGATTGTAAACTTCTCCAATACGCCCAATGTGGGTGGTATGAAAATAAATTGTCATTCTCACTGTCATTGTCATTGTCATTGCAGGTTAAAAGGCCAGGAATACAAGTTCATCGAACTTAAAGGTCACCGCAAAGTATTGTGGGACTGCTAGGTCAACATGGGATTTTAGTGTCGGATAAAATATTCTGATCACGTGATCACTCCGATTTCCGGTCAATCGGAACGACGTGAGTTTCTAGTTACGTTATCCGATTAGCTTCCCCTGCATTATCATTCTAAAAAGAAGGATAATTTTGCCCGTGAACGCATCACAGCTCTTACGGCCATTATCCGGATAATGGCGGAGAAAGTCAGATTCTATTAGGCAAAATGTATCCCTTAATGGCCATTAACCGGATATAATGGCTTCTAATAGAAACACGCTGAATGTCAAACTATCTGAAAGAAGTGCTTTTTGCCTTTTATGATCAGGTTGGAATAACTGTAGATAACTACTGCATGTCAACCTCTTTGGAGTTCTCTTAAGATGAAAATGAAAAGATTATACAATATATTTCACAATTTCGTATGAAGGGAGTTCTCTTTACCAATCAGTGTGTTTATATTAGAAGGCATTATCCAGTTAATGGTAGCCTATAATCTAGGCGGAGTGCCGAGCTTTTTTCTTTGCTGCTAGACTAACCTTAAGCAGAACGTCTGATACGGCGAGACTACGAACCGTGAGCCGCGAAGCGGCTCACCTCCTATAATCACTGGTCTAGCTTTAGTCGTTTTTTTTTTATTTTTTATTATCGACCATGAATCCGTGGCAGTTTTTCGTACGAAAAAACCTCATGAATACGAAATGAACTCAACCAATCAGAAACACGTATGGAGAAGAGTCTATGCATATGCATATTATAAATCACGTGACATTACGTCATTTTCTTCATCCAAGATGGCGGGTAGTTCATGCGACGACGATCTTCTGCGAGAAAGTTTATCATATGCGGCCAACAAACTAGGCATTCCTAATGGAAAATTCAGAGAACTGCAGGAATCCGCTATTCGTAGCGTTATTGAAGCCGGCAGGGATATTTTTGGTTTTTGATTTTTGATTTTTTTTTGGTCGAACGTAACATAGGTGTACCTTATTTGGTAGGGCTGTTGAATGATTGATAGATCCGCCATTTTGAATATATATGAATATTGATTAGCTAGACCAGTGATTATAGGCGGTGAGCCGCTTCGCGACTCACGGTTCGTAGTCTCGCCGTATCAGACGTTCTGCTTAGGGTTAGTCTAGCAGCAAAGAAAAAAGCTCGGCACTCCGCCTAGATTATAGGCTAAGTTAATGGCCGTTAGGGATAATGTTTTCCTAATAGAAACTGACTTTCTCCGCCATTATCCGGTTAATGGCCGTGAGAGCTGTGACGCGTTCACGGGCAAAATTACCCTTCTTTTAGAAGGATAATGCAGGGGGGGGGGGGGGCTAACCGGATAACGTAAGTAGAAACTTACCCGTTCCGATTGAGTGAACATAACGGAGATAAACCGGAAATCGGAGTGATCACGTGATCAGAATATTTTACCCCACAACTAAACTCCCAGGTTGACCTAGCAGGCCCACAATACTTTGCAGTGACCTTAACCAAAGGCCGATGAATTTTTATTCACGGCCTTTAAACCCGCTTAATTGGAGCAGTGTAGTTATCCGGAAAATACGCGTAGATATAAACTGCCCTTCCCTGGCATTATACACAATTTTCTGGAAAACATATTAACCGGATCAAATTCAGGATCCGACAGAGGCAAACACGGTGGAAGGAAAAATATGACAAGTAAGGTTTGCATCTAATTAGTCATTAATAAATCTTCTGATCCATGATATCTTAAGAGATTTCATACGTATGAAAATATCTGTCATTTTTACTTCACCATCCTTACACAAATAACACATTTTTGCAGGTTTATCACCTATATAAACGAGTAAAAACATAGATTTATCTCTCTAATAATTTGTGAGTTTAGTACTGGAAGTGATAAAAACACTTAGTTTTATTTCGGTATAAATAACGGATTAACAATGGTTACTCGTCCCAAGGGAGTCAATGAGTTTTTTCGACCATGTGTCATGTGACTCTTATTTCCTTTGATCTTTTGATAAGTGTGTTAACCATCTGTATATAGGTACCTAAAATAAACTTCAGATATCCAGTTCAATTTGTGTTTGTGTAAATTTCTGTTTTAAGAGACCTATGCTTCCCGATCCATATACCTTGCGCTTTTGCTATGTTGATTTTGAAACTGGACATATTTTCCAAGTCAACAAGTATTTTAAGGGCACATTAAGCGGGTGTCATCTGCATATTGCGACAGTTTGAGTATTTTCTCATCATTGAAACTAACTTGAAACTAACCCTAAGGTAAAATTCAAAGAAAATCACAAATATGTCAACTAATGAATCACTAGATACTGGTAAGCTAACAGATGGCCATCGTACAAGTTTTAGGTCAACTACATATCGGGTGATTTATACAAATACAAATACAACCACCTCCATAGCAGCTGGGATATACGAGAGATTCGCCAGAAAAATAACGATGTTTCAATGACGTCACAATTTGGACCAATACTGCCCAAGCAGACGACATCCCATAAAGAATGTACATAATTTCAAAGCTATTAATTGTCAAATTATAATGAGTTTAGTGTATATAAATCTAATAGTATTTCAAACCATTCAAAAGGGAAAATGACACGATTCTGATAACTAAAATACTTTGCTTGTAAATACACAGGATAGCAGTTAATTAACAATATAAAAAACAAGACTTTCAAATTGAACCCCCCCCCCGGAATGATATTAAGGACAAAAACAAAAACATGCACGGGGTTTAGACTGAGGCAATAGCTTATACATTTAGCCTGACGGTAGTGAAGTAAGAGAAGGAACTCAAGAGAAAATGAAAACACAGCGACTAAAAATGTGTGCGATGTAAAGGGACATCGTCTGCTTGTGCAAATCCTGTCCATACTGTGATCTCACACATCTCAGCAGCGTTCGGAGAGCTCTTCAGGTGCTATGTCGGGGCTGTATTTAAGCGTTTTGTAATTTACAATAATCATTACTTCGAATGTTTCCAAGCATTGAATGTTGTTAACCTTGTCGAATCAAAGTTTCAACTTTGCAATAATGACAATAAAGTTAGTTTTTTAAAATCAATGAATATCTACTTTAAGAATCGAATGACGCATCAGGATTCCAAGTATTTCACTCAAAAAAAATGGTACGAAGGCAATTGATCTCCCTGACGACGCCCTCGCCCAAACAAATATCTATCTATACAGTCTCCGATAAGTAGGACATACTTCAAAGAAGCATTTTCATCAAACAATTTAATCCTTTTCTGAAATGTTGAGCCAAATTTAAAGAAATCCAAACCTTTATAGAGGAATTTATGAGACACACAGTCGAATGCCTATGAAATCCGAGAGAAGGAGTGGAATGGAGAGGCCCAGAGATATAAAAATGAAGAAAATAGTATCAGTAAACTAAATGATGTATACAATTGTATGAAAACATTCCATTTTTGATGGAAATTTCCTTTTCCTCTCTCAATAGTTCCTATAATTGTCATACAGGCAATTGGCACTTAGCAGGAAAAAGATAGTGATAAAGAAATGCTAATAAAATCGATTCAGAACAGTGCTTGTAAAGAATTCAAGCATACGGCTGCATTTTCAGTCATTCCCATTTCTATAGGCAATCATTTAAAAGAAGAAATGTGTGACAATTACCTTGGAAGATCTTCGTCTCGAATATAAACACAGTTTTTTTTTCTTCATCTACCATATCCATCTATACATTTTCGAAATCTTTCTCCAATTAACATGTACACAAATGTAGGAAAGAAAATAGCCATAATGTTAAGTCTCATAAACAAGGATACAGTTTCAGTCAAATGTACTGTGTACACCCTCGCCAATGATGGTTCCAATTTATTCTCACTCTTGCTCTCTTCGTATAGAACAGATGATTTCAAGCACCATTGTAAAAGTTACTGTTTCTATTTGTGTAGAATTTTGTTCTCTAGTGTCTGTCCTTTTCAATGAAATCATTATAAAAAATGAATGTTGATCTATCCTTCTACATGTATCTCCTTAGCATCATGGTTATTGAGACTATGCAGTATAAACATATGTTTTTTTTAAACTGACATATCATCTGTATGAACACCGAATAATACTTGTTAGTGCATAATATTGAAGTGTCTCATAATAAATAAATGCATCCTGACATTCAATTTCTTACAACAGTCATTAGATTCAGTGCTGTCTCATATGACTGGTAATTAGGTCCCAAGATTATTCTCAGAGTTCTTTTTTGCACCGTTTCTAGTCGATCTACTTGTTTTTTAGTTAGGCCTCCATTCCACACCGGCGAGGCATACTCTACGAGGGGTAAAGGAAACCAGTGTAGATGGTACAGAGATCTTCGATCGGCAGTCCGTGACCTTTCAAGATCCTACTGAGGTGTATTCTTCCATTTGCACGTTTTATCATGAAATCAACATGATCACTCCATTTTAAATCACAGCGGATATGGACTCCTAACAATTTGACAGACGTGGATTGCTTTAGAGGTTGTTGATCAATTTCCAGTGACAGTGGTGTCGGAGGACTTTTTCCTAAAACACACCTGCATACTTTCACTGCATACTTTCATTGTTTGGGTTGTTCTAGTTACACACACTTCACAATTGTTTCTCCCAATCAAAAATGAAAAATGAGAAGAAAAAAAGGGGTTTCCTCCTAGTATATTAGTTTGCTTTCTCTCTGATTACTTTGAGAAAACCTTTCAGGGTTTATTCATTTTTGCTTCACATAAAGGTCAAGAGTAAACTGCTTTCAAGAAGTACTTGCCAATCTCACTGTCATGATCTTAAAGGTAAAAACCAGTTATGGTCATGCGATTGCATTGTGAAAGAAACGTTGTGGAATCGATCAGAAAAGGTTGATCATCTAGCATCTAGCATCTGCAAGGTTCTGGAATCATCAAAATGATAAGAAATTTGGCCCATTCTTCGTAAAGTTACAAGCACTATACACAGAAAGATGTATATGGGACTACCCTATATCTCTCACAGACCATGAGAGAAACAAATTTACCAAATATATGAATTAGTAGGCGGTTTCCCGGCAAATTTTTTTATCATCATGTATTAGTCAAAATATTTTCTTTCACATGATTGGTAATGAGAGCTTCCATTTCATTTTTTGAAATTAGGGCGTTTCCAATACTGGTCTTTACCTTTAATTTTGTATATTTGTGAATATACATGTATATAAATTAAAACCACATTATGTCCACAATTTCGATCATACAGTATAAGGCATTTGTTCACAAGTAACTTCTCTTTCATTACACAAAATTCAAAATAATCTCTTCTCATCTGATATCTGACATGGGATGACAGTATTAATATCACCCTTCTTTGTCATATTACACTGTGATTGCTATCTTCTTGGCAACAATGTACTGTGCTTTGTTACTCATTCCACAATTACTTAAGAAACGTAATGCTGCAATACTATATGAATTGGCATGACAACGCGGTATTTTTCAAATTTTAAGGCTTGTCGTGTCGCCTTTCGGCTTAGGCCAAATAAAATCATTGTTGCGCGAATATTGGCATTTTGATCAGGTATTTTACTTATATTTCGACTTATATCATATTTCCTACTCATTTGATAAAATAGTACGAATGATTCATGTTTCGAAAGTCGTGCATCATTGCACTGTTGAGTTCTGGTCATGCGATTGCATTGTGGAAAAACTGTGTGGAATAGATCAGAACAGGTTAATCATCTAGCATAATTATAAGTACTGGTGTGTACTGCAAGGTTCTGGAATCATCAACATGATAAGAAGTTTGGCCCAGTCTTAGTAAAGTTACATGTATATGGGACTACACGAACATGTAGCATACAAATCTGTCCCGATTTGTATGATGTTACGTGCCATATATTGAATATTAAGGCATTTGAAGAGCCATGCTTTTCAGGGAACATTTGTTATCTGATGTTCTTCCACACTGGCATAATAACAATGATAACGCTCACAAATGATTTTCCACGTCGTCCCAGAACTCAACCTTCTCTTTAAGTCACGATTATCCGGAAAATGAGCCCGACAAGACAGTCTCGTTCATTTTCTGGTTGTGACCGAAGGTGCGTGCTAGGCAGATTCTCCAATGCACTCGCAAATATGAATTATTTGTATACTATTCGTTTTCATCTTACTTAAACTTTGTTGACATAATATGCATTACGGTTATCATTACATTTCTAATCAATCTCAGCCGTTTTTTTCTTAGATGACATGATTTTATTGCACTAGCATTACCTTCTTTTTTTTCTCCATTCATTTGACTGATTACTCTCTCAAATTTGATTTCTCTGTTTGAAGTTCATCGTATGTAACTAATATATGTTCAACAAAATTACTCCTCAAGTAGGTGAACCCGAACGATACAAATGTAATTGCTGATTAAACATCACGGCCGATATTTCCTGTCCTAATTATGATTACACAAGCCATTGGTGGTTTAGACTAACCTAACAATGCCGCTTTCTATACCAATATTTTGACGAACGGTGACATACGAATGCTAACAAAAGCTCTTCAATATAACATGAAGCGACTACGTTTCCAACCAATCTTCATGTCTAATCTTCGATAATTGAGCCTTTTTTTGTAATGCTCTTTTAGAGCCGCTTGACACGCGGTTGCTCGATCTCTTCGCTTCTCCGTGAGGTTTCTTCGTTTGCCTCACGTTTGCACACGCACTTAATGACGGAAGGATTGCTTTGTGCTTCACAATAGCTTTGAAAATTCTCGTCTTGATTAAATCCTTAATAATCCTTTTAAAGGGATAGATGAGTTTTGGTAAAGAGGGCGCTTCGCAAAAAAGATGTTGTGAGATAAAGAAAACAAAAGTGCGTATTATATTAAACCAAAACGAAAAGCCAACAAAAAACCAACATTGGCATTGGCTGGAATAACACGTATCAGGCGCTATCTCGTTTTTTCAAAGACTGGTTCAAATTTATTGAATATTTGTGGGGCCCTATAAATATTAACCCATCGCTTACTGGAACCTGGTGGTCCATGTGTAAAGCCTATGGGAATTAGATAATTCAGTAGTCAACGGGTTAAAAATGGTTATATTTACATTACCCCCTCTCTGAGCCGATTTTGATCAAACAAAGATAATTTTGTCATTAAAATTGTATGTTCTCTCAAATTTGACACTCAGTTTTTCATTATCTCACAACAAAATTATTGTGTGTAGCGCCCTCTGAAACTAAACTCAACTATCATGTAAATGTTTGGACAGTTACCCCTTATAGTAGGACAAAATACAAAATCTACTTATGATAAAATATAGGCAACCTTGCTTACTTTGCGGTCCACACTCAAGCTATGTTGGGGATTTAGATTCTAATCGGCCAATGATGATGATTACAATGAATCATTTACATGATGTATTTATGTATTTCTTTCATTTTCGAAATCATGACGTTTCGTGTTATTACTTCATTTAAAATGTGAACTAATATCTAACGAAGAGTTTGGCCAACCCGGTTCGAGTTGGACACAATATGGCGACTACTGCTTTGTTGGGCAAGCACAGAACAAAAGAATATACGCCATGTTATGATCCAGTGAAACCAAGTTGGCCAAACTCTGTGTGTATTTTTTTTGTAATGATATTTTTTTCCTTCCTCATAAATTCACTTATAACAAGAAATTCACATATGAACAAATTATCACAATAAGTAATATAAAACAAGATTTTTGATACAAGACACTTCGTGAATTACATCAATCAATCAATGAACAACATAGAACAAATATCAGATTATACATGATTCTACATTTGTTCTTGCATATAACAATTTATAATCAAAATAACAATAGAGGAAAGCTCCGGGCGACTAGGTGATACATGTATTGAGCGCCCTCTACAATATACACAAGGGTGATCTTTTCGATTATTACCACAAATCTCCTAAGTCAACAAGCGATAGAACGAAAAGGGGGTGGGGTGTTTCGGGAGCGCCAGGAGGGTCAAATCTGACTGACATGAGGGCTATACAAGAACCCATTATTTTTATTATTATTATTTTGTCTGCTTTGAGAATCCACTTTTTTCGAGTTGTATTCCTGATACACGCTGGAATTTTAGCAACGTACCATTGGTTACCTACATACTTAAATGAGAGAGAGAGGTAGAGAGAGGAAGGAACGAGAGAGAAAGAAAGAAAGAAAGAAAGAAACGGGAAGGGGACGATAGATAGAGAGCGCATGGGAAGGGGGGATAGAGCACATACAAAAACGTTAAAAACACATAACTAGATGTTACGGGGGTAGAAAAGAAAGAAAAGAGGGAAGAGAGAGAAAGAGAGAGAGAGAGAGAGAAAGAGAAAGAGAGACACAGAGAGAGAGAGAGAGAGAGAGAGAGAGAGAGAGAGAGAGAGAGAGAAAATGGGATCGCGATAGAAAGGGAAATGAATATGACCTGAAAATGGAATGTGGATTGTAATTATTTTGAGGTATGAGAAAAAGAGAGGTTTAGGGTGAGGAATTAGGGATAGTGCGAGAGACGTGGGTAAGAGAAGAAGAGTGGTTGACAAAGAAGAGGAAAGAGAAAGAGAGAAAGAGAGATAGATAGAGAGGGAGAGAGAGAGAAAGAGAGATAGATAGAGAGGGAGAGAGAGAGAAAGAGATAGAGAGTGAAATATAAGGGGTTAAGTCAGGAGTGATAAGTGATGAGGCATGGAAGGGGGGGGGTGGCGGAACCACTTTTATTGAAATGCTAACATTTCGAAGGTAGACCTGAAGCATCCTGCCAATATCCTCTTCAAATTAACATTCTATCTCTTCTTAAGGGAGCAGACTTCCTGACTCGAATGACGTGTCCTGTAAGTTACGTACCGACTAGGGCTAGGTGCCGACAACTACCTAGTAGTACCCGGTACATTACAAACATTGCATATCGTGGTCTGCCGATTTCGGCAAAAAATAAAAAATAAACAAATATTTCGAAGAATATGTAGTGACGAGTAAATCCGCCAAAGTTTAACACAAAGGAAAATATAATACAATTTAGGACGGGATTATATTATTATTATTACTGAGGAGGCAACTATTGGTTAAAAGGCATATCAAGAATGGAGTGGTAATGTTGATGATAATAATAATGATGATGATGATGATAATAATAACGTTTAACTAGAGAGAATTCAATACCACAATAATGTAATATTACAATGATAATAATAATTATATTAATAATAATAACAACAAATACTATTAATGATGTTAATATTCCGGATTGATATAGCGTCTAACATATTTGTACGAGTAATTCTTTGTCTTATTATAACTATCGGCAATAATCAAAAATCATAGAAAGCAAGAACCACGTTGACCGAGAATTTGTGTGCTTGTACATGAAGACTGAAACCATTCCGAGCGCCTTGCAGCAAGGCTGATGTTGAATGGGCGTATAATTATCTGTCCTAACTACAAGGGGAGCTTTCCTAGGCAAGTCTTACTGTCGAGCACCCGGATGTAATTATTCCTTCTCTCCTTAACATTGTGAGGACAAGGAGTTACTCTTCAGTTAGGCTAGCGGCAGTGCTGGAGTAGGCTCTCAAACAGGTCAACTCTCTCTTTCATTTTCTTTAGAAAGGTAAGAATATTTGAAATCATTCATACACATGTTCATTTGATTAAATGTTCTAATTGATGTGGCGGTGAAAGTATGAGAACTGTTTGGCAAAGTATGTTAGGTCAACAGCGCAATCCATGCGCAATACTCATTATTATGTTATTATGTCTGTGTAATTATTGTATTCATTTGGACGCCTGAATCAACAAGCTAAAACAAGCTTTCTAAAGGTGCTCCATTTTCCTGCTTCTCATTTTCACAGTTTGGTTAAATTAAATTAACATAATGCTCATGATTTGTATATTTTGAACTGTTTGTACTATTACACATGTATATATTTTTTAGTTTTTAATGGACATAAAGTCTTTTGAATTGGAATTAAATAGCGATTCGGTGTGGAACTGGGAAACATTTCGAAATCATTTCTTCTTAACCTAGGGCCTTCCTTTATACAATTTGTTGATGGAAAATTGTTAAGTGGCAATCACGGAGTGGTGTCAGAAATGTTTGCAAGAAGGACATAAGACTTTAACATTATTCATGGCAGTAGCGGTCTTCTTACAGACAGCTGATGATAGGTCAATTATTGTCATATCCGCAAATCAAGAAAACGGAGTGCAATAAACGGAAAATAGTAAAGTAACATTTCTCGGTGTCCCTTACTACGTTCGCCTAATGTCGAATCACCCTAATTGAGCTACCAATTACTAATGTAGCAGCTTGGAAACTGATACAAAATGTTCACCAAATACATAATATTCTTTGGTAGGGTTCAAACCCTTTTTAAGATTAAACTATAAACAAACGGCATCAAAGCAAACTCTTAATACACAAAAGTCAGCCATCCTCCTCCGGTAATAAACCACTTTCCGGTTTGGAAAAAACAGGTTTCCTTCTCCTCTCTATATCCGTCCTGTTTTTTCAAATGAGGAATTAATCATTTCTTATTATTTCCGTTAATGTATTGAGGATTATATTTTGGTGTATCTACATGAAGACTTTAATACAGGGACTGCCAAAGATAATTATCTGTGTGTTACACTGTTTAGTGTGTTTAACAATAAAGTGATACCTTCCCTCACTCAGTGAGTGGTGGTGTGATAATGAAATCTTGCTGATTACATTGATGGTTAATCTTGGAATGAGACAGTTTATAGATAAATAGATCTGCTATGCTTTCCCTCATTAAACTGGGGCACAACAAATTTAACATGATAATTAAACGTTTTAAAGACGATGGGCTTCTGGTGATTTCTGTCACGGAATCATTCATTGACTACCACGATGATTATGTGTTACCACTAAAACTTGCATTTTCTTCTATGAATAAAGAATATATATTTAAGAGCATGGTACGTTTACTTAAAATGTTATATGCATGGACTACTAAACTTATTGTGTCAACGTGAGAACTCGTTTGCCATTTGAAACATTTCAATTTGTCTCACTTTTACCAGAGCGTTGCATAATATCTCACAATATATTTGGTCAAACAATAGAGCCCTTCAACAAAAAGGTTCAGAAAGTCTTATCACCTCTCATATAATCATAATTGACCTATTCATTTTAACTTATTAATATTGGGCTGCATTCAGTTCTGATAATTGGTAAATTTTGTAGGTCATGCAAAATCACGAATTTTGATATTAATCAGACTAGTCGGTTCCTATACCCTTTTCTAACTGCACCGATTTTCATCGGATGCATCCGGACGCATCCGATGAAAGTGCCAGTTAGAAAGCAACAGAGGAGAAAAAGGCGATTAAATAGCCGATGAAAAGAAGAGAAATAGGCGATTAAATTCTCCTGCTCTAGAGCAGGAGAAATTTTCATTCTATCGGTGTGACACCGATGAAACTTGCAGTTAGAAAACGTTCGGGAGAAAAGGGCGATTAAAAAAGCGATTAAAATGGTCAAAGGTCGCAGTATACGCGCGCTTTACCGTAACCAGCTGTGTTTGTTGACTTATGGTTAAACAAGCTGCATGCTAGCTAGATGGAGCGCGGGCTTAATAATTACGTAATAATTCTTCACTTCCGGCGAGGGCTCGCCACAGCGAGTGAATTTCACCAGCAGTTAGAAACCGACAGGGGGAAAACTGCGGTTTCAACTTTGTTTACATAAGGAAAATTCAATCGGTATTTTCATCGGTGTGACTCCGATAGAGTGCAGTTAGACGTGTACGCAGGAGTAGTTCTTTTGGAATATCTCCTATTTTGAGGGGGTCTGTTTTTCGCGGGCTAAGCGGCTCTTTCATACGGCTTTCATCGAAAGGGTGCGGTGCGGTGCGGCGCGGTGTGGTGTGCTCAACGCACCCATTCGATAAAAGGCCCCCCGCTTTTCTCGAAAGGGTGCGTTGAGAGCGGAGCACCGTTTTAACACACCCTTTCGATAAAAGCGGGGGTCTTTTCTCGAAAGGGTGCGTCGACTAGTCTTTCGCATCAGTCGTTTAAAATGAGGATCTGGGACAGAAGGTAATAGTTGCCAATTTAAGTATATCGAAAATGTATTAAATAAAATGGTATGGTCTTGATTACAGAGCATGGTCTCTTTCGTTATTACTATGTTGATGGGGGAGACAGAGAGAAGGAAAAAGGGGAAAGGAAAAGGGAAGATAAAAGGAAAGAAAGAAGAATAAGAAGAAAAGAGGGAAACGGGGGGGGGGCGCGCAGGGCTCTTGCCTTCTCCTCACCCCCCTCCCCCGCTAAAAAATAAATAAGAGAGAGAGAGAAGGGAAAGGGAAAGAAAATATAAAAGGAAAGAAAGAAGAGGAAGAAGGAAAGAGGGAAACGGGGGAAAAGCGAAAGGCTCTTACCTCCCCCCCCCCCCCCGCCAATAAAATAAATAGGAGAGAGAGAGAGAGAGAGAAGGGAAAGGGAAAGAAAATATAAAAGGAAAGAAAGAAAAGAAGAAGGAAAGAGGGAAACGGAGGAAGGGCGAAAGGCTCTTACCTACCCCCCCCCCCCGCCCCCTCCCGCCAAAAAAAATAAATAAGAGAGAGAAGGGAGAGGGAAAGAAAATCTAAAAGGAAAGAAAAGAAGAGGAAAAAGAATAAGAAGAAAAGAGGGAAACGGGGGCGAAGGGCTCTTGCCCTCCCCCCTCCCGCCAAAAAAAATAAATAAGAGAGAGAAGGGAAAGGGAAAGAAAGAAGAGGATTAAGAAGGAAAGAGGGAAACGGGGGAAGGACGAAGGGCTCTTGCCTCCTCCCTCCCCACCCCCGCCAAAAATAAATAAGAGAGAGAGAAGGGAAAGAGAAAGGGAAAGAAAATATAAAAGGAAAGAAAGAAGAGGAAGAAGGAAAGAGGGAAACGTGGAAAGGGCGAAAGGCTCTTACCACCCCCCCCCCGCCAAAAAAAATAAATAAGAGAGAGAGAAGGGAAAGGGAAAGAAAGAAGAGGAATAAGAAGGAAAGAGGGAAACGGGGGAAGGGTGAAGGGCTCTTGCCTTTCCCCTCCCCCCCCCCCACCCCCGCCAAAAATAAATAATAGAGAGAGAGAGAGAGAAGGGAAAGGGAAAGAAAATATAAAAGAAAAGAAAGAAGAGGAATAAGAAGGAAAGAGGGAAACGTTGGAAGGGCGAAGGGCTCTTACCCCCCCCCCCCCCCCCGCCAAAAAAATAAATAAGAGAGAGAGAGAGAGAGAAGGGAAAGGGAAAGAAAATATAAAAGGAAAGAAAGAAGAGGAATAAGAAGGAAAGAGGGAAACGTGGGAAGGGCGAAAGGCTCTTGCCTCCTCCCTCCCCACCCGCGCCAAAAATAAATAAGAGAGAGAGAAGGGAAAGAGAAAGGGAAAGAAAATATAAAAGGAAAGAAAGAAGAGGAAGAAGGAAAGAGGGAAACGTGGAAAGGGCGAAAGGCTCTTACCACCCCCCCCCCGCCAAAAAAATAAATAAGAGAGAGAGAAGGGAAAGGGAAAGAAAGAAGAGGAATAAGAAGGAAAGAGGGAAACGGGGGAAGGGCGAAGGGCTCTTGCCTTTCCCCTCCCCCCCCCCCCCCAACCCCCGCCAAAAATAAATAATAGAGAGAGAGAGAGAGAGAAGGGAAAGGGAAAGAAAATATAAAAGAAAAGAAAGAAGAGGAATAAGAAGGAAAGAGGGAAACGTTGGAAGGGCGAAGGGCTCTTACCCCCCCCCCCCCGCCAAAAAAATAAATAAGAGAGAGAGAGAGAGAAGGGAAAGGGAAAGAAAATATAAAAGGAAAGAAAGAAGAGGAATAAGAAGGAAAGAGGGAAACGTGGGAAGGGCGAAAGGCTCTTGCCTCCTCCCTCCCCACCGCCCGCCAAAAAATAAATAAGAGATAGAGAGAGAAGGGAAAGGGAAAGAGAAGATAAAAGGAAAGAAAGAAGAGGAAGAAGAATAAGAAGAAAAGAGGGAAACGGGGGCGAAGGGCTCTTGCCTCCCCCGCCTTGCCAAAAAATAAATAAGAGAGAGAGAGAGAAGGAAAGGGAAAGAGAAGATAAAAGGAAAGAAAGAAGAGGAAGAAGAAGAAACGAAGGAAACGGGGGCAAAGGGCTCTTGCCTCCTTTCTTTTCTTTTTTTCCTTTCTTTCCTATTCTCCCTCTTTTTCGTTTTTCTCTTTCTTTCTTTTCTTTTTCTTTTTTTTCTTTTCTTTCCCTTTCCCTCTCTTTTTTCCTCTCCCCCTTTTCTTTTTTTTCCCGACGGCAGCGCAATTTTACCGACAATATCCTGACAGGTGGGGGGGGGGGGTGTCGCACCTGTTTTTAGTGTGTCTGGTGTCAGTCGTGTAGGTGTGAATGGGGCAAAATAATTCCGCAATGGGGAAGCTCCGGTCAATCCGCCATACCGTCACCGATCCGACCTTAAAATTACCGGTTATGTGCCTCTCTTAGTTATTGAATTGCTTGATTTAGTTTTTTTGTCGGTCTGGTGTCGGTATCATTGGTGTTACTATGAATACAAGGCATTGTCGAAGCTTCGTTATTAATGAGTCATACATCAGTTACAACGGCAAACATTTCACCCTGTATAACTTACTATTCAAGACAATTAATTTCGACGTCTTT